GCTGTTTTTATTCTAGCGTTACCAGAGCCCAATACCAATTCCTCAATATCGTCGATACATAAACATCATGCTATCGCGACTGCTGTTCCTTGACATTGTGAGAATGTAGAACTGGGCGATATGAAAATCAAAAGAAGTGAAAGTAAAGGCGAAAAGATGTCCCTTGATCTGACTGACCCCAGCTCTCCATGAACATTTTGATTCAGCACCTGTCTCTTGTTTGACTCGACAACTTTGCTAATGGGAAGGAGGGCTTCTACCATAGGCCGCATGTGGAAGAACCATGGCGCTCAAGGGTGAAGCCATGGATCCCAAGCCGGATCTAGCCTGCAACCTGGACGGAAACTTTCAGTGTGGTGAAGCTGCACTAGGGCTCTTACCAAATAGTTCCGCTCCTATTGGTGAACAATAACGTAGCCAAATGATTGAGCTCGTTGGGAAACATGGCAAAGTTCAATTAGCTTAGCAGCTTGTTTGCGATTAGAATAAGGTGCAGCAAGGTCTCCAAGCTCTTCATGGGATGTTTTGACCAGCTCATTGTGTTCAGTAGTCTTGGCACTAACAGAATGCTTTCTGCCTTATTGCTGTCGAACCAACTGAAGGGGGCAAGTTCGATGATTCGGACCTGCTCGGAAGGAACTTTCGAGTTTTTCAAGTCATAAGTTCCAGGTTTCTAAGCACATGGTATCTAAATACTAGGTACTTGTTGAAAGGTATTATGTTAATAGTGACGGTAGGGCATAGGCTCAAATTGTTGGCCATGCTGAAGAAGAAAAGCAGTTTTGAAAAAAAAAACTTGAAAAATACGCGGATCTTTCCGACAGCTTATTGTGGCTCTAGAGAGAAATGCTATGAGGCGAGGACGATGGCATGAGATGCTTCTGTCAGTTCAATTTATTACTTGCCGCAAGCAGGTGCCAGCATATGCATTGCAGTTATCACCGAAGATCTTTCAATATCACTTCGAAGCTAGCTTTCTCTTGTATAGTCTGAGTTTCTAGTTCAAGCCCCAGTCAAAGAATAAATAGATCAATTTCAGCCAGTTTGGTCTCGTGATTGGGAGCTTCAAGTGTCTATCAAGGTTTCTGGTTCCACAGGTACATCTCTTCAATGCATTTCATCAACACTACGGGATTCAGAGCTTTTCTTGATTCAGGCGACTTATTTGGCGACGGAATGGCCATATGGTACGTATCAGAACCAAATCAGATGGGACCTGTTTTTGGAGGAAAAGATTACTTTCGAGGACTTGGCGTGTTTCTGGACACGTATAGTAATCACAATGGCCCCCACACGGTTAGCTGTTTTCTTATCTTTTATTGATCGAATCTCTTCTTTTCAAATATTTGAATGGGGCACTTGCGACTCGCGCGAATCGTGCGATGGATTGCGGACTCTGCCAGCAGCCTAATAAAGCTTAAAAACGCCATCCGGATGTAAGGCGAAAGCTGTCGCCCGAGATCTGTGATAAGCACGGGAGGACTACAGAAGGATGTACGATCTCAGCATTGAATTAGCTCCACATTTGGGACTCCTAGGTTCGCTGCGGCCTGGGAAGTCTCGATATTCCCGATCAAGTGGAACTTAGGCATACCAAAGTTATACGCCTTCAAGAAATGCTTTTTGAAGATGTCACTATCAGGGATTCGGGAAAGGTGTTGAGCTCTCCTCGTGAAGAAGACACCAAACGAAATACTTGGCACAGCGGAAAGAGCTCCCGAGGGGATGCGCCTCTGCGTGATCAACTTTAACCATTCGTGACAATGTCAGCCCGTGGCTGACGAAGACCTCACCGAGCAATGTATCTTGGTACCGCGTTACAATGGATGTGGAACATTTTCTTTACATAGAAAATATCATTCTACCTCATATCTCTAGGCGTTCCCTAGCAGAGGCAAATCTCGCCCTCTCATTTTATTGAACGAAAAACACCTGCTGTAACTACTATTGCGCATCCTCGCGGTCGCGACATGGGTTAACATGTCAAACACAGGCTATGGAGAGCCACAGATAGAGAAACTATACATTGGTCCATGATGTACAACCAAGCTATCGACCAGCATGAGTAATATGAAGTTCTCTTTCGCACCTGACAACGCATCAAATATTCAAAAAACATCACATCTAGTATCCACAAATCATGTGAATGTGCGCGTCGGTAGTGGAGAATACGTTTGGAAACGGTGGACGGAGGCAGAGGTAGTATGGGTGAGGAACGCTGCGTGATGGAAGTCCCGAGCTTGGTTACAGCCATTGATCTGAAGGTCTGCAGCGCGAATCTCGCGAAAAGATTAAACCCCAAAATGTTCACACGGCGGAGTGAGACCAAACCTTACTCAGCCTTATGACGTGTAAGAGCCGCATCCGTCAAAAATGTGGAAGAAAATCGTTATTTGAACGGAGAGAAGTGGCATAAGCAAGCAGCCTATGCTTGAAACATTGCGGTGGCATTCTCCTGAAAAGTGTCATGAATGGAGAGCGAGAGCTCGATGGTGGGAGCTGTAGCGAACGGAGAAAAATGATTTGATGAAATGGGTACTGAAATGTGGTCTTCCAGACTTACGGTTCATACCAGCGATCCTGCAGCAAATGCAATGGCTTCATCCCTTGATCTGCACTGGGTGACACGTGAACTAAGGTGATAAAGCAGCATGACAAAAAGACGTGAAGCTCGGAGGACGTTGCTGCTTAGAAAACCTGTAAGGACTCTCAAAGCAGCGGTATCCAAGTCGAACGTTGAAATGGCGCTGTTCTAACAAAGGCAGCTGTGCAGAGTAAATTACAGTAGTGAAGACCTTGTTGACGTTGCCGTTGAGGAAGGCAGTCGAAGTGTTGCTTTGATGAGCTTGGAACGAGAAATCTTCAGTACTCTGGATTTGAAATAGGGTTCATAGAAACTAGGTTGATGAAAGTTGAAAAAGTGGTTGGTCCAGATGGGGTGTGTATTGTGGTGTATCAAAGGGGTTGATACAAACCCCTTTGATACACCACAATACGTCCTCTTCGACGCTTTTCAATAGACAGCTAGGTACCGAAGTTCGGATCCTGCTTGTAGTTCAAGCTCTCTTCTACGGACTTTCGTCTTTACCGGTGATAACCAAGACCTGAGATTCCCACAGCGAAAAAATTCGCGCCGCGAAAAGCGGAAAAGTCGCTTCGTGTCCTAGCGACACACACACTACATCAAAGCTCACCGGTAGTCAGTCTATCTCGTTCTATTTAGAGGAAAAGATATGATAGGGTGCCTGGTCTTTGTCATTATGTTGTTGATAATAATGAACATTATATCGATTGTAGTAGCTCTATGGGTAGGTGTATGTTTTCAAGTTTTTTCATACAAAACTGGCAAAAAATTTATTTAAAAAAATCAAAGATTAATTTCGAGAAACAAATAGTAATCGCCATCCTGCCCCATTGATGTTGAGTCTCCCATAGCGGAAGCTCTAACGTGCATTAGGGAAGCACAGTAAGTCGTTCAATGTTCTGCACAGTGTTATTTTATATTGCGTGAATAAAGCAAACAATCTTAGGTGGCAGGTAATTTTGTACTGGATGTAATCACATCTATTTCAGCATAGCCACCCCTACATATCAGCTATGGTTTCTGACGGATCGTTACACTACGATCATGACAGGGATGGTACTCACACTCAATTGGGCGGTGAGCATACAGGTAAGGAGAGCATCATCCAGTATGAGAGGAGTCCCTCGGCTTTCTGAATATCTTCTTCTTATTTTGCGTTGAAAGCATTTCACAAAGCAAAGACAAGCGTCAAGCCAGATCCCTGAGTTTTTATGGGAAAACAATGGTAATCGTGTTCCAAGTTTGGTGCTCGTAGTCGTTCTTCTCATTAGTTTGCCACATCTGCTGTTGAGAGTAGTTCGCAATCTCTTCTTTGCAGTGGTAGAGAAATACGCTGTTCTCTAGCATCGTTTGTCCGGACTTCAAGCGATGTTTCGCGGTAATTTTTCGGACACGACCCTGCCTCACAGTATTTAGGGTTGTGCAGAGCTTCCTTCTAACGGGGACGGCGCATAAGAAATGCGATGGTTTCTGTAGGCAAATTGGAAGAGAGGCTTGAATGTTACTCCTCTTGTACCTTCTCAAATGTACTTAACACGTTGACAACACCGCGATTTTGGGTTTCTTTCGCTGTGTGGGACCAGAGTGCTTTTGCAAGGTGGCGCTCACCTCACAATCGTGGGCTTTGAGCTGTAAATACGCAAAACTTCTTCAAAATTGTTTCAACAATGTTTGGTGTGTTTAGCACATTGAAGACAGTGAGACGCCGTTGCGCGTCTCACCCTTGTCATCCCTTTTTCTAGGCGCATGCGCAGCTTTTTCCCGAATTGTTTGTCTCTCTTCTATGGATTAGAACATAACATTATTGTGAACGACATAGGTCATTGTTTGTTCAAATATGCTCCAGTTTAGCAGCGGTTTTAAATATGCTTCGGTTTAGTAGCAGTTTTTTTGTTTTTTAAGGCTAAAGGTTAT